GGGCCAAATTTGGCCCGCCAAGTCATTTGATTTGGCCCACCAACAGTTCCCAAAGTTACAAGGTTGTAACCTGTTATCCTATAGGTAGAAGCACAGTATTTACATTGGTCAAATGACTATATAAAAGGGCTGTAGTGAAGGTAGTTTCCAGTCATGGTGCTGACATTTCTTTGATTTATTAGGCTTAAACATGAAACATGAAACGACAACAAGAAATATTTAGATCAGATTTAACCCCGCATGTAGATTTACACACATTTTGTAAGGAAACAAAAACTCATATTTTATCAATTTATATGTCCCATGAGCCTTTGCTACTTGAGAGTATGGCAGACTTTCTCCAAGTGCACAGACTAAAACCAAAGAGGGCCATTGCATAGCTCAATCGTTAAAAATAAAGGACTTTACTTTAAAAAGTATTTGTATTTCATGTATTATTTAACTGCATTTGGCCAGCAGCCATGGATAGATTTTGATTTTGGCCCCCTCAGGGAAAATGTTTGGGCACCCCTGGTGTAAACTTTTCTAGACCTCCCATTGTTATTTATGCTTGCATGTCTGATGTTTGTCCAGCAGGGGGYGCAAGATCGCTTCTCTTGAAAAAAAAAACATTAATTTATTCAACTTTCTTGTAAGGATTTCTCTTAAAATTAGCTCTTTGGATTAAACTAAACATTAAATGTAGTTGATAAGAGCTACGTCGATATATGAATGTGGCTGTGTTGCATCTTCAAAGGCTGTTCCTGTAAAGTAAACAAAAAGCTGTCGTCCCACCCTTCAGTCCAACCGTGTAGGGGGTGGGAGGGCACGCCTCTCGCTCTGCTCGCCTCGTGCTGCTCTGACAGCAGCTGTGTCCAGCTCGCGCCTAACAGCAGCATGTCGATGTGTGCTAGCAGGAGGTGATTCCGTATGACCAGCGTTGATTTCAGCGACGCGAGCGTGATAGCTTCTCCCTGAACAACAGCGAGGGAGAGAATGAGAGAAACGGGGCTCGGCTTTCACTCGTAGCTTCAGCGAAAAAGAAGAAGAAGAAGAAGAAGAAGTCGCTCCGAAAAGGTAAGCGGTGACAACGGTTTGCTGCTAGCCAGCAGTGTTCTGTTTGTTTGACGAGGACTCGTTTCTCGTCACAAGTTCTCATTTTTGTTTAATTTTTTAAAAAATGTTTTTACTTAGTTGCACGACAAAATGGCTTGAAACCATCAAGGTAACCAGTTAGGTTTTATGTAAGGACTGGTCGCACCTACACAGGTCAGGAAAACTTTAGATTTTCTCCTGTAAAAACACGAGTTGTAACTTTCCTGCTTATTTCAATGCATATTAGTTTAGCTATATCATTCAAACTATTGGTGAAGTTAACTTTATTTGTAAAAATGTCTCGACTTCAAAGGAAATGTTAAAGTAAAATTAAATGTCTGAAATTTTAATGTTTATCAACTTTGGAGGTCAGTGAATCAGGAGGTATATTCAAATGTTTGTATTTACCTTCTCGCAGCGTTTCCCAAAGTTGGGGTCGGGACCCAAAGTGGGGTCCCGAAACATCAAGTTGGGGTCCTGAAAAGATTTTTCAGAATTATATTTTTGCCCTAGTTGTTACAAAGGAGTGAGGTTAGTATACTTAAAATGGACAAATGTAGTATAATAAATATTGTTACTATGTCCATGTTTAGTTGACCTGATACAAATGTTTATCATCCAAAAATATTTGGGGGCACAGGTCTCTGCTTGTTGTTTTGTGGGTCAAAAGCTGAAAAGTTTGGGAACCACTGCACTTTGGTTCCCAAAGTTGGGCTTGGGACCCAATTATGGGTCATGAAGCGCCTTGGAT